GCAGGGGTATGTAAGATATACTATCCATGCTCGTAATAATTATAAGTCAAATTGCACCAGCCATAAATTGAGAAGTCCTTTCTCTTAACATGTAATGAAGCTTAATATCTCTCGTGGCTAAAATTTTCACTGGTCCTACAGATCTGATGGATGTCAGCACACTACTGCTTTCTTTTTTTCTTTTCTGATCGATAATACTGTAATTTTTAGTGATCCAAATCCTTGTTAATTCTTTGCCATTAACTAGGAAATATAATATACTCCCTCTGTCTTCAAATATAAGCAAATTTTAACCAACTCACAAAGTTTAAGAAAGTTAGTTGATCTTAATAATTATGTCCAATGGAAAATTTTGGACTAAAATGTCCTTGTAATTAATCCTTATTTTCCCCATAATTTAATGATATTATCATTTAATGAAGGGCAATTTAGGAAAGATGATATAAATTCTTCTTGAAAATTGTTGTTTCGCTTAAAAACAAAATTTGCCAGAAGCCATATGAAAGTATTGCTTGCATTAAGGAGTTTACTATGCTAGTACTAGCTTCACACTGTTCTTAAATTTCTAATTTCAAACAATAACGGTTTAACAGTTTCTCCATGTAATGCTGTAAGTTCTTATCTTGATGTTTGTTCTGTCTCATTAGAGCTCTTGGATGATGTATATCCTTGTGAGCCTTGAATTATTGGCACATATATTCTTGTTTCTTCTGAATTTCTGCTTTAAAGTTACTCCCTCAGTTCTTATATATAAGAAGTTTTCTAAAACTTTTTTTATCTTTAAATATAAGAGGCTGTCAGCATATTTTTTTAATAAATGGATGATTATACCCTTATTACATTGGAAAGGGAAAAATATAAGTACTCTCATTAATTTACTTTGAAAAAAAGAGATTCATTTTTTATTTATAATAATTAGGGGCAAAACTAGAATGTTGCTGTGCTTTTAAGTAGATAATCAACTTTTATTGGTTTGCGTGAGTTGGTTAAAACTATCTTATATATAGGGATGGAGGGAGTATATGACAATCGAAGTAGATAGCAAACTTTTTTGTTTATTTGTAATACACACAAGGAAAAAGGATTTATCTACTTTCATGACATGTCACTTAAGTGTTATGTCCACCTCTAAATTTGAGATTGAATATGTGGTTTGCTTCTTGACCATATCCAGGTGACAATGCCCAGAGATTGTTTACACTATGGAGGTGTGGAACATCGGGAACTGCATAATGTCTACGGTTACTATTTCCATATGGCAACAGCTGATGGGCTAGTGAAACGTGGTGAGGGGAAAGATAGGCCATTTGTTTTGTCGAGGGCATTCTTTGCGGGAACTCAAAGGCATGGAGCAGTTTGGACTGGGGATAACACAGCTGATTGGGATCAGCTTAGAGTTTCTGTTCCAATGGTTTTAACCCTTGGCCTTACTGGACTACCATTCTCAGGTTGGGATTTAAAGTCAATGTGCTCTTGCAGTTGCTGGTGTTCTTTTCTTTCTTTGTTTTTTCCCCCAATTTTTATCTTTAACTACATGCTTGTATCTCAATTACATCTTGCAGGTGCCGATGTTGGGGGCTTTTTTGGGAATCCTGAAACTGAGTTATTGGTTCGCTGGTATCAATTAGGTGCTTACTATCCTTTCTTCAGGGCCCATGCCCATCATGACACTAAAAGACGAGAACCATGGCTGTTTGGGTAGGATTTGCATTAAGATTTCATTCTGGCTTTTTATTATGCTTGTTTATTTTCTTTTTTGTTAAACAAAGTTACAAACATTTGGTACTTTTTTCTTTTCCCTTACCAAGACCTGACTGCCCTATTTTATAAGTTACTTGTTAGGCAATTGATTGTCATGATCCTCTTCCCCTTTCCAAAAATATTAGTGAATATTTTATTAAAATAATTAAGATTACTTGGTGAAAAAATGATATTGTTAGTCAGCCTCATTCTGAAATAGGTAAACCTGCCCCCTGATGTATTATACCAAATTTGTGTAAATTTATTGTCTGGTCTCCGCTTTTGGAGTTATTTTCTTTCTCAAAACATGGGTGCTAGATGGCTGAAATACATTATTTGCCACCCCTGTGGCCCTGCCACAGTAATAACTGGCAGAAGTTGAATTGCATATCCTAATATTCACCTTTTTTATATTTAACCTGAGCTACACAAGTCTCTTTGCAAGGATTGTTAACTAATGGTTCTTACTTTATTGCAGAGAAAAGAATACAGAAGTTATAAAGGATTCGATACATGTTCGTTATGCATTGCTCCCGTATTTCTACACTTTGTTCAGAGAGGCTAACTTAACTGGTACTCCTGTCCTGAGACCATTGTGGATGGAATTCCCATCTGATGAGGCTACTTTTAGCAACGATGAAGCTTTCATGGTTGGAAACAGCCTTTTAGTCCAAGGAATTTATACTGAGGTGCTCTTGTGATTTACCGACTACTTCTTTAGTTTCTTTCAGTATTTTGTTTGCATATCCTTTTCATTTCATTTATTCTCGTCAGCAGCTCTTAAATTAATTTCTGTAGTTCTTTCTTCCTGCTAGGGAGCTAAACATGTATCAGTCTATCTACCTGGAAAGCAATCATGGTATGATCTAAGAACTGGAAATGTGTACAAGGGAGGGTTGACCCACAAGTTGAAGACTACTGAGGAGAGTATCCCTGCTTTCCAGAGGGCTGGAACCATTGTACCAAGGAAAGACCGATTCCGACGAAGTTCCACACAGATGATAAATGATCCCTATACTCTGGTATGTGTACCTGTTTTGCTGTAAACCTTCTGATTATGCATGCATGAGTAGGAGTCACATGTCTAACTTCATCTCTCAAATTCTTTTATCCTACCTTTCTCTGTTTCAATATATAGGAGGTCTTGGACTTTTGGCCTTTTATTCAAACTCTCTGCAGTCATATATATGTTACCATGGAATTTGGTCTTGCTAGTTCCCTATGTACTTGGCATTAACAGGACCACTTTGAACACTCAGGGATGTTTTCAGAAAATGTTTGTTGCTTGCTGTGTAATATTTCTGTTGCCACCTGACCAAACAGTAGAATTAAGTTGATGAATAGTGATGTGTGCAATTGTATGGTTTGCGTGTTTTGTTGTACTATTAAGAGGATGAGAAGCATAAAGAACTTGGCTAACTTAATGTACCGCATCTGCGTGTCAATTCATAAAATTTTGTCATTTAAATATTTAACAACTTTAAGTCAATTTTGATCTTATTTTTTAAATCGTCTGATTATGTCAGCCAAGCCTGAATAGTTTGTTTATTAAACCATTTGAACTCGAGTGTCTTGGCTTCACTTTCTTGTTTATGCTCCTTTGCCAGTATCTTAAGGAGGCTGATGACGCCTGACAGTAATGGAAATTAAACTATTTGTTTGCATCATAATAATTGATGATATTATTATTGTCACTTCACTTTGACAGGTCATAGCTCTCAACAGTTCTCAAGCAGCTGAAGGTGAACTCTATATTGATGATGGCAGTAGCTTTAATTTCCTGCAAGGAGCCTACATCTATCGCCGATTTGTTTTCGCCGATGGAAAGCTTACATCTGTGAATCTTGCACCTGCTTCCCAGGGCAGTGTTCAGTATCATTCAAATGCTGTCATTGAAAGGATTGTCCTCTTGGGATATGCTTCTCGCTCAAAGAATGCACTGATTGAACCATCCAATGAAAGGGTTGAAATTGAGAATGCCCCTCTTTGGATTCAAAGATCGCATGGTTCTCATGCTATGACCATCCGGAAGCCTGATGTCGGCATTGCAGATGATTGGACGATAAAAATTTTGTAACACAATCAGATTTCAACCTCGAGGTTCAAGCAAACAGAGTTGAGGCAAGAAAATCTTTTAGAAGAAATGAATGCGGTTAATGTGGTTTGAGCAGATTGTCTTACAATTGAATTTTGAAAGTTGCAACTCTGCCCACCGCAATTTATTTGATGAGGATAATTTTGTATCATCTAAAATGGTATGTCCTTTTGTTGTGTTAATTGCAGAAGGGAATAACTTGTTATGAAATACCCTATTAAAGGAATGCTAAAAGATAAACATGGTAAGTCTTTCCAAATTGACTGCATTACTACTGTTTATTCGCAGCTAAATCTTTTGGCAAATGAAAAATCAAACGGCTTTTATGTTTAGAGAGAAGTCATTCAAGCATTATGTTTCAAGTCTTGAGCAAAAGCATTAAGCTGATGGATCTAGTTGGATGAGCTCGTAGGGAGTCCCAGTCATAATTCATGCAAAGCCAGTGAGTTGTGATTTAAACAATTACTATAAGTAGTATTTATTAATAATTTTGAAATATAAGTGATTTACTCCACTTTTATAAATTCGTTTTCAAGAAGACAGTATGATAGTTAAGGTTTTTTTTTTTAAAAAAAGATTTAATGACATTTAGATTCTAATAATTTTATAAAAAAAAAACAATTGTAAATATCTATTCAAATGATTGCAAATTTAAATAAAACATTTACAAACTAAATATAATTTTTAATTTGCAACACTTTTTTTTTTTATAATTGCCTAAATCATTTGTAAGTTATAATTTAATTTTAAAATTTTATTGAAAAATCTAACTATCATTAAATTAAGAATAAATTTCATGTTTGATTGTTCAACTATCCATCAATTGCCCGAAAACAAATTGTTAGCATTTACAGTTTGACCACATAAAAATCATCCAATCTGAGCTGAAAAATTAATAAAGCAATCATTTAATGAGTCCAATTAATCTTCAAAATCAATTTCGAATAGACTAAACTAATGAAAAAATGATTTATTATTGTCAGAAATAAAGTTGACAATCAATGATAAAGATTTAAGATGTCTCAACCCATTTCACATGAGCTTAGCCTTATAAACTAATATTATATTTATATATATATAATAAAAGTTTTATATTTAAAAAACCATTGTGATCTAGATTTAACCCTGATGAGATCAGTAAATCACGAAGCATATGAACAAGATCTAAATTGTAAACTCCCAATAAATTGCTTAAATGACAAGGACTTTTACCACCCACATCATCTTTAGTTGGTAATTTAGAAAAACTATACTTATTTCCTTCTCACAGCAAGAAGAGAAAAGCAAACAAAATTATTATAAAGAATTATGAAAAGCAAGAAGAGTCCAAAACTTGCTTGTGCTTCTCCTATTCAACTAAGCTTATTTCTTCTACATAAATGGTGTGATGCATTGACTCTTAGTATCAGCTACACACTGCCTCCACTGCCAGTCTCCTAGTTAAGCTGGAAGAACACAAGTTTTTCTTGAAATTCTCTTCATTTAACTTTATGACACACTCCTTTTTGTTCAAGCACGCCTACAGAAACAATAAAACATTTAAAAAAGAAAATAACTTCTTTTAGAATGAAAAGAATAAAACAAGCATGATTACTTGTTAATATATCATTCACTCACACCCCAATATATAATCAGTAAGCAGATAGCATAGTCTAACCTTGGTAGCATGGACACTAAAGAAATTAGAGAGAATTACTCCTAGATCCCACATAATACCCTAAAATACTATGAAGTTCATGTGTGGGACCTAAGCTAATTCTCCCAAGAAATTACAAGTCCACCAACTGAATAGATAAATGCACACATCAAGTCATCTTAGATGATGAAAACCTTATATTTAAGGTGACAACTTGACTCATTTACTTGTAATTTCTTGAGGTGAAAAATTATTAAATACTCCTTAAGTAGCACATCACCTATACTCTCAACAACTAGCAGTCTAAATTGAATACAACAACAACAAGCCTTTATCCCACTAGGTGGGGTCGGCTACATGGATTGCAAGACGCCATTGTGCTCTATCATTTATCAAGCTTTTAGAAATATTATTAATTAAGAGATCGCGCTCAACAACTTCCAAGAGTGTTCTCTTAGGCCTTCCTCTACCTCTCTTAATCGGACTCAAAGTTATATGTTCTCTTCTCACTGGTGCCTCCCTTGGTCTTCTTTGTACATGCCCAAACCATCTCAACCGATTTTCTACCATTTTTTTCTCAATAGGTGCCACCCTCACTTTTTCGCGTACGTGCTCATTTCGAATTTTATCTTTATGTGTATGTCCGCACATCCATCGTAACATTTTCATCTCTGCTACTCTAACTTTATGCTCTTGCTGTTCCGTTAGAGCCCAGCATTCACTACTATATAACATTGCCGGTCTGATAGCAGTGCGATAAAACTTTTCTTTAAATTTATTAGGCACCTTACAGTTGCAAATAACTCCTTTAGCTTTTCTCCAATTAAACCACCCAGCTTGAATTCTATGTGAAATATTCCCACTGATTTCGCCATCATTTTGAATAATGGCTCCCAAATATCTAAACTTTTTCACTTGAGGTATAATTTGATCTCCCAATTTCACTTCCAAATTATTGTCGAATAGTCATTTACCAAATTTACAATATAAATATTCCGTCTTACTTCTGCTCAGACGAAAACCTTTCGACTCCAATGTCCTCCTTCATAACTCAAGTTTGCAATTAATCTCTTTCTTATCTTTGCTATAAGAACTATATCATCCGCGAAGAGCATACATTTCGGAATTTCCTCTTGAATATGTTCCGTCAAAACATTTAAGATCAAGTTGAACAAATAAGGACTCAGAGATGATCCCTGATGTAGTCCAATCTTTATAGGAAAATTCTTTGTTTGACCACTAGGCGTTCTTATACTAGTTTTTACCCCCTCATACATATCTTGTATGGCTTTAATATAAGCAATCCATACTCCCTTTTTTTCCAACGCTTTCCAAAGCACTTCTCTTAGTATACGGTCATAAGCTTTTTCCAAATCAATAAAAACCATGTGTAGATCTTTATCTTTACAACGATACTTTTCCATTAATCCCCTTAGTAGATAAATCGCCTCTGTAGTTGATCTACCTGGCATAAAACCAAATTGATTCTTAGAAATACTTGTCTCCAATCTCAACCTGTGCTCAATTACTTTCTCCCACAATTTCATTGTGTGGCTCATGAGTTTAATCCCTCTATAGTTAGTACAATTCTGAATATCCCCTTTATTTTTATAAATAGGAATTAATGTACTTCTCCTCCACTCATCAGGCATTTTCTTGGACCGTAAAATCACATTAAATAACTTAGTTAACCATCTCACCCCTTCTTCACCTAAACATTTCCACGCTTCGATAGATATACAATCAGGTCCGTTGGCTCTACCATTTGCCATTTTCTTAAGAGCTTCCTTTACCTCCTTATCACGTATTATTCGATAGAATGACAAATTTTGTTCTCCTTCACCAGTTACTAAATCCTCCAAGTTACTAGATGAATCCTCTCCATCATTGAAAAGTTTAGAAAAGTAAGTCTCCCATTTATTTCTAATTTCATCATCTGTAACTAAAATTCTTCCCTCTTCATCCTTAATACACCTTACCTGTTCTAGATCTCTTGATTTTATTTCCCTACTCTTGGCAATCTTATAAATATTTTGCTCTCCTTCCTTCGTCTCAAGGTTCTTATAAAATTCTTCAAAAGCTTTAGAACGAGCTTCACCCACAGCTCTCTTAGTTTTCTTCTTAGCCATACGGTACCTCTCTCAATTTTCCTCATTGTTACACAAATGTATGGCTTTAAAACAGTTCTTCTTATACTTGATTTTGTCTTGTACACTATTATTCCACCACCAAGTCTCCTTATCTCTCAGACCAAAACCTTTCGATTCTCCCAAAACTACTTTTGCAACCTCCTGTATCTTTTTAGCCATATCCTCCCATATGATGTTAGCACTTCCCTGAGATTTCCAAATTCCTTTATCCAAAAGATTTCGCTTGAAAATATCTTGCTTCTCACCTTTTAATTGCCACCACCTAATCCTTGGTGTTACTACATGTCGACGTTTTTGGATTTTACTCATAATACACACATCAAGGACTAGCAGTCTAAATTGAATAAATTAATTTTTTTTAAAACCTTATCAATGCACAGATATTCTTTCTCTTCATTAAAATATTTTTCTTCTACATTTTCTCCTACATTTGGACTAAAAAATTTTGAAGAGTGTGAATGACATGACACTTTGAGAGTATATAATAATTTCTTGACGTTGTGGCTTCAAACTCTTTCCGCTGGAGAAGTAGCATTGGATAAATAGAACAGACCTAACAGGACTTACTTGCATATTCAATCTCAAACCAAAAACAAATCATGACATGCCTTAACTGTGAAAAGTAACCTCAGAAACTGAAGATGTCATCAGAGATTTGAAGACAGTAACTTCATGTAAAGAACAAATTCCAGAAACACATACCTTTTCGACAAGTGAACTAGAATTTGGATCATGGCAATCTCCCATGCGGTAGGATCCACATGTTCCTGAAGGAGTTCCAAAGCTAGCAAATTTTATAGCAGAGATGCGAGTATCTTTGGGGCACGCTAGACGGGCAAAAGGCGTGTTTTTGTAGTTCTCAAATTTATCTTCACTCTCAAGATCAAGACCAAGGGAGGGGAAATCCTCTGCCACAAGGGCACATGCACCAGAAACTTTACGTCTCAAGAAACTAATTTTTGTTGGATCACCACCTTTCTCTTCAAAAATAACAAGAACATTTCCAGATGGCTTGAACCAAGATCTTGGAACATGATACCTGATCCATAGGAAAGAATGCATTATTTCATGAAAAGAAACAGATTATAACAGACTCTAAGACCTACCAGAAGCACATAATATTGGTAGTATTTTATATTCATAATGGATGATTTCTATTCTAAACCGTTTGTTAGATTAGCATAGTTAACACAACACACAAGTAACAAAATCTATGAGATTTAATCAGTTTTCAACTATTTCATCTTCTATCTACTAGTGATTTTTGTTTCTTGTCGACTATAGACTATAGAATAATTTAATTGCTCGATGACCTAGATCAACTTCTGCACAAACAAAAGTCTTATTATAGAACTTTTCTTGGCCCATTTCTACTATTGTTATGCAGTTTGGCAAGAAACTCTATTTCAGCCACTTGTAATTACTAGATCTCCAAGGTAAGAAAAAAGACAAGGAAAAAAATTAAAGACAGATTACTGCATATATAAGTCCTCAGCTTCAATTAAACCATCTTAGCTCACAGTTTTACCATTTCTGGGTGGGTTCTCCACAGCCAGTGTCACATTTGTCAGGATTGAATTTGCCTCTATAGTCACATTTTTTAACACACTCTTGATGTAAATTTTTCCTGGGCCAATATCTTCCAATTTCTTCTCCATTTAACCATGCTAGACCTTTCCCATATGTAACATATCCAGTCCAACTGGTTCATCCCCTAGTGGAGCATCAACAATTACCTGCATGACCAAGAACTTACTTTTTAAGATTCTTTACCACACAACAGTAGCCAAGTGAAAGAAAGAATTCTTTATAATTTGCAGAACTGACATCAAAAAAGTAATTACCTTGTACCATGTCAATGGCTGTCCTTTTGGTGGTCTGTAGAAGTCCAGTTTACATTATTTAAGCCATCTCCCTGGTATATCTTCAGG